CCCCTGTCCCCGGCACTGGTCCGGCCACACCTCCAACACTGTGTTCAGTTCTGGGCCCCTCACTACAAGAGAGACATTATGGTGCTGGAGTGGGACCAGAGAAGGACAATGAATGTGGTGAAGGGTCTGGAGCACAAGTTTGATGAGGGAACTGGGATAGTTCAGCCTGCAAAAAAGAAGGCTCAGGGAAGTCCTTATCACTCTCTACAACTACCTGAAAAAGGTTACAACGAGATGGGTGTCAGTCTGTCTTCCAAAGTAACAAGTGAGAGGACGAGATGGTGCTGGAGTGGGACCAGAGAAGGACAATGAATGTGGTGAAGGGTCTGGAGCACAAGTTTGATGAGGGAACTGGGATAGTTCAGCCTGCAAAAAAGAAGGCTCAGGGAAGTCCTTATCACTCTCTACAACTACCTGAAAAAGGTTACAACGAGATGGGTGTCAGTCTGTCTTCCAAAGTAACAAGTGAGAGGACGAGGGAATAGCTTCAAGTTGCACCAGGGGAGATTTAGACTGGATATTAGGAAAAAAGTTCTTCACCAAAATTGTTGTCAAGCATTGGAACAGGCCGCCCAGGGCAGTGATGGATTCACCATTGCTGGAGGTATTTAAAAGATGTGTAGGTGTGGGCTCAGGGGTATGGTTTAGTGGTGGGCTTGGCAGTGCTAGGTTAATGGTTGGACTCAATGATCTTAAAGGTCTTTTCCAACCTAAACAATTCTATGATTAAACCACAGATTAAGATGCAAAATTTTAGACACCGATTTAATTGTACATACAAGATTTTTTCCAGCAAAGAAAGATAATGTCCTCATTTTTACATTTTAAAAAGCCTCTAAATAAAAAAGAATAGTCATTTTAGCTTTTTGTCAGTGTAACCATCCTATGTTTTTAGCATTCTGGGATGATTCAGGAATGAAATCTGTTGATTCTAATATTCCATTAAGACAATTAAACAACATCCCTCCCCCACAGAAGCACAGTTACACCACAAAACCAAACCGGATGCTTCTACCACCCCAAAACCAGAAGATATAAAAATGTTTTGCTCTAACTACACAACACAATCTGTTATAAATAACTGTCTTCGTAACGGCCATGTAAAAGTGAACAAAGCAAGGAACCCACAATTAGAGCAGTTTAAGGCATGAAATCACACTTGCCTCAGCAAGCAAGACACAGTAACCATCTTTGACATTTGCAGCATCTTTGCCAGTGACCGCAGAGCTGAATCTTTGTTACCATCAGTAGTTTGCCATTTTATTTATTTTTAAGAAATTCTTTATGACATACCTCTTCTAATCACCATTTCTGATAATGAACAGGCACATATCAAGCGGTTTGCATTACAGAGCCATCAGGACAGAACAACAGTCAGAGGTGAGTGACCCCAGGGACCATCTCCACAACTACAGCAAAGCTTCTCCCTGACACTAATCCTGCCTGTCATTCTCCCACTGTGCTCTAACCACACTGACATCCGCCTGCCGCACTGCAAGCTTAACGGGGCCCTTCCTGACTTTTTACTGTCTCCCCCAATCAATGGTTCAAGCGTGCTCTTTTCACCATGTCCAAATGGCAGCTTCACTCATAATCAAAGTGCATAGCTCCTGTTAAAGGGCTTCCCGAAAGGCTCCACCATTTGCATTCATTTGCAAAGCAAACTACTTTTATTCACTTTGTTCTGCTATCAAGAGTGTTCCCTGAAGCAGATAAATTGGCATAAATACACCCTGCCACTTAAAAGACAGTAAATAATAGCCAATAGTAGCAAGGATTTCATCAGTCTTCCTAGTTTGGATCCATGTAGTCCTTTATTCAATGCTGAAAGCCTCAGACATTCATATTCGGATAGTTTTTAATACAAGTATAAAACGAATTATCTATGATGATTCAAACGCAAGACGCTTAAATAATATGTGTTAAATAATGAGAGATCTCACACATACATTATATGCATTATCATACAATTACACTCTGGCCTACAGAAGAAATGATAAATACATAAAAAATCTCCACATTGCACAATAACCTTATTACTTTTATTGTATTAAAAATGTAATATACTCCATATATTTGTTCTATCCATATATATATATTTTATACTAAAATATTTCCAAGAAAATTTTAGAAGGAAAGATTTGGATTATTTAACATTCTAGTTAAAATAATTTTCATCGATGGAATTTAAGTAACCAAAAAATCTTAGGAGTCTTTTCTTCAAAAAGTAATCAGATTTCATACCTCAAAAATAGCCTTAATATGCAGTTTATCATAATTTTCTATCTAATTTTTATTAAAACTTTGTGGGGTTTTGTTGTTGTTGCTTTTGGGGGTAGGGGGAGGTGTTGTTTCTTTCTTTCTCATTTTTTAAAAAGTAAATTCGCAGCTATTCTTTCTTACCATAACCAAAGCATATCTAAGCAATTACACACGGAAATCAAGACGATCTTTTCAGTAATGTGCACACATCGGAAGCTTTCTGGTAAGTTTTATTTTCAGGCTTTTTTGGTAAGCTTTGATTTTCCTATGTGCTCACAACTTTACTAACAATTTCTAAATATTACAGAACTCATAAGGTTATCTTCCTAAATAACAGACAAGTTTACAATCATTCTGTGGATCTGTAGCTAATTACATAGCTAATTCACAGCACAAGAATTCATTAGTTACATTAAAATATCAACTTGTTAATCTTATTTCAAGCTGATGATAATTTTAGAATGTGAAGATCTGAAACATTTATGAACTTGGAAAATCCTTGAAAAAGCTTTTAGAAAATCCGCTCTTAACTGCTAAAGCTGTAAAAGAGCTTTTGTGAATTTGCAATTCCTCAGCAACAGTTAATTGTGTCTTTAGATGCAACAGCGCCTACTGTGATCCAACTACTACAAGCAGCTACCAGGGTGGTCATGGTGTGAATGTATTCTCCCTGTTCTAATCTGTAGCCAACTGTAACTGTGAGAGTCAAATGAATGCATAAACATACTGCTTTGTCACCTAAAACCATGTGTGTCCAATATTACTGAAACACTGGGCCAAAATTCATCTCTACAGTAAAGCAATGGAAGACACCACATGGTGAGGGGACAGCTGTTGTTACTACACAAGCATTCAGATTTTGCATCAAAAAAGCCCCATTCTGGGATTAACTCCACATACTGAATACAAAATTAAAAGTACAGAGTTATGGTCTACAGTCTTTAAAATGAAAATAAGCTACAAGTGTAGATATAAAAAATTCATAGCATTCCCATAAATAATAATCCTCTAACATGGTTTATTATACATAGCTGCCAATATTGAAGGATTAGTTCATCCAAACACTATGCACCTTCTGTAGAAAAGAAATATGAATGTGGTTTATTGTGTGGCATCGCTGTTACATGTACATCTGCACTTTGCAGTTCCATACCACCTCTTCCAGCATGACAGAGTTTTACAGTCTTAGGACTTTTTCTTTATATATGAACAACTCTATTTTCAATTACATTAAAAAAA